TAAATACAAATATTAACACATACATAAATCAGTCTTTATATCAACTATTTTATGATATAATTGTTTTTAATCCAGTCTGTTGTTGAAATATAAACATTTATGGTGACTAATAAAAATAGGTTTTCATGACGGATTTATAAGACATCACTAATTAAGTACATATATTAAACTGCACATAAATCAGTCTTTATATCAACTATTTTATGATATAATTGTTTTTACTCCAATTTGTTGTTGAAATATAAACATTTATGGTGACTAATAAAAATAGGTTTTCATGACGGATTTATAAGACATCACTAAAAGATTAAGTACATATGCTATGAATATGTAATATAGTTCATATATTGATCAAAAAATATTTTTCTAACTGACTATCAAGTTTATGCGCATTGAATATCTTTCCTGAGGTTACGTGACATTGTTTTTTTTGCTGAAGTCTTTCTGCGGTTATGAAACTGATCGATTGATTCCATGATTCATGATTGATTTCAGTAAGTTGTTCTGTTTCTTTCAACACCGTGATGTTCGTTCATGTTTATTTGGTGCTATAGCTAATAGTAAAGAGGAAGAGATGAGATGAATAGCTTCAGCGTTTTAAGCTCGGTCTTGAATCGATGGCTTCACGAGTTTGAAGTTGTGAATGTCTGCCGTTATGGATCTGAAACGGTGGATGTTTTTGCGTTTGCTGTGTCAGGTGATCGTGCAGATGTCGGTTGAGTTCGCCCAGCAGACAGAAGAGGCCCGGATCAGCAAACAGGCCCGCGAGACGACCACCGGCACACAGACGGATGACAGCGAGGATGAGGAGGACCGACTGAACTCTGTGAGCCTGATGAAGGTTAGATCACGTGTGCCACAGATTCCTCAACGCTGTGCTTCACGAGTTCGGCTTTTATTATGGATTTTGTTCATTTTAATCCTTATTAGGATTCAGAATTTGGTCATCAGTGAATTTTCAGCTTCCTTTAACAATATATGAGCTCACGTGAGTCTCAGATTCATTCTGCAGCTCGAACTAGAAGATGAACTGTGTGTGTGTGTGTGTGTGAGAGTGTGTGTGTGTGTGTGAGTGTGAGTATGAGTGTGTGGATGATCTGTAGGACGAGTGTCATTTTTGTAGCATTGAAGCCCTTCAGCTCACATTGGCTGCATGAAAACACATACAATCACACACACAAACACACTCACACACACACTCACTGCTTTTAGCTCCAGTGTTTTTGACGAGATGGGAATGAGCACGTTATTTAACCGATTAAAAACTTCTGTCGGATTCATTCTGATCTTTAAATTCATGCATGTATGAATCGTCAGTGTGTTTATACTGTCAAAGTGAAATCAGCCATAAAAACATTATGTTCAGTAGAAAATAAGTTACTGTGTAAAGGAATGGTTCACCTTAGGGATATTATAGTTAACTTAACGTAATACTTACATACTTTTACTTACATTAAAAAATTACTTGAAATAAAAACAAAACATGAACTGAAATGAATTATGGAAATATTCTATAATATAATATATAATGTAATAAAATATTATATAAATATGGTACTAATATAAATATTATACTATTTAAATAATTATATACTAATATAAATATTATACTAATTTTATTTAAGCTAGTTTCCATGGCAACATTTCTTTTTCATTTAATTTTTCATTTAACTTCTAAAGACATCTTTTTCGCTATCACCTGACCAATTAATACTAGCACGTACCTATTCTATTCTATTCTACTCTACTATACTCTATTCTATTCTATTCTATTCTACTCTATTCTATTCTATTCTATTGGTCTGATTGCTTCTACTTTGTAAGTCGCTTTGGATAAAAGCATCTGCTGAAAGACTAAATGTAAATGTAATGTATAATGTAATTTAACCTGATCTATTAAAATAACTAAAAATAAAACAAAACTAAAATTAATAAAAACTAAATTAAAACTAAATTAAAAAAAAATGATAAAAATGACAAAAATGCAACAAAATTACTAAAACTTAAAAATAAAAAATCAGATAATAGAAAAATGAAAATGAATTTAATATGTGAGCCTGGAGCACAAAAGCAGTGTTAAGTCGCTGGGGTATATTTGTAGCACTAGCCAACAATACATTGTACGGGTCAAAATTATAGATTTCTCTTTAATGCCAAAAATCATTAAGATATTAAGTAAAGATCATGTTCCATGAAGATATTTTGTAAATGTCCTATCGTAAATATATCAAAGCTTAATGTTTGAATAGTAATATGCATTGCTAAGAACTTCATTTGAACAACTTTAAAGATGATTTTCTCAATATTTAGATTTTTTTGCACCCTCAGATTCCAGATTTTCAAATAGTGAAGTGAAGTGACATGTGGCCAAGTATGGTGACCCATACTTGGAATTAGTGCTCTGCATTTAACCCATCCAAAGTGCACACACACAGCAGTGAACACACACACACCGTGAACACACACCCGGAGCAGTGGGGTATAGTTGTATCTCAGCCAAATATTGTCCTATCCTAACAAACCACACATCAATGGAAAGCGTATTTATATATGAAAAATTGACACTTGTGACTGGTTTTGTGGTTCAGGGTCACAAATATGAATAAAAACTATAATAATATCTCAGTGATACTAAAATAACACAGATTTACCCAAACAAGTCAACGTTAACTGTATTGAATACTATATTAGTGTCCACACCAACTGTTTATTCTGCAGTTTTGTTGTCTGTCACTTTAAATGCTGGGGCTCTTTAAAGTCAGGTGGATTCTGATTGGCTGTCGGTGTTTTTATCATTCATCAGCTCTGAAAGTGATTCCAGCAGAGTATCGTTCCTCTGTGTCGTTATCGTTAGAGTTGCGGTGTGGGCTCTCTGTTCTCATAGAGATAGAGCAGTTATTAGAGTATTATTATAGTCATCGTTCTTGTCAGCTCTGATGCTGAGCCCATAATCAGCTGCTGACGTCTGATGATTGAGTCTAACACTCGTCTGCTGACTCAACAGTCTCCTGAAGAAGAGCAGACCTTCATCACTGAACACACAACACAAGAGGAGGAGGATGATGATGATGAAGAGCACTTGCGCTCTGAGCTGGTCCCGCAGGAGGAGGCTCTCAGATCGTCACACACACTTCAGCTGGAGGCGTATCAGGGGCAGAACACACTCCTGACGGCTCAGATACACACACTCACCCAGCAGCTCCTGCAGGTGTGCGCTTCTTCCTGTGGAAGCACTTCCTGTTCCTGTCTCTCTCTCTCTCTCTCTCTCTCTCTCTCTCTCGCATGCATGGACCGTACGCTTCCACACTCGTTACGGAAGTCAGCATGAAATAGAAGTTTCTTAATGTCAAAATGTGACTTGCTCCACTTCTGAAAGAACATTTCTTCTGACGCTGAGTGATAACCAGCAGTCAAACAGCTAGTTAGTCATTGTTTAGGTCAGGAGTTCCTAAACTCGGAAGCCGAACCCCTTTTAACTAAAATATTTTAACTATAAAACCTCCCTGCAGTTTTAAGTTAATATTTCAATTATTTAACAACACATTTACTTGTATTTAAATGCCTATACGTAAATATTTAATGTTTTTTATTTTGATTATTATTTTTTAATTATTATTATTTGACATTTTTATGATTTAATTCATTTTTAGTACTTTTTATTTTGATTAGTATTTAATTTAAAGTGATTTTATTTATTTTAATTTAACATTTTTATTATTTAATTAATTTTAAATATTTTTTGATTTCTTTTATTTGTTACTTGTTTTAATTTTATATTTTTTTATGGTTAAATGGTTTTATTTTGTTTTTATTTTAACATTTTAAAATGTGACATTTTTATAATTTGTATTAAGTGTTATTTTGATTTGGTTTTATTTTAAAATTTATTCATTTTAGTTTGACTTAATCATGAGTTTATTTTTGATTCATTTTTTATTGTTTTTTAAATAATTATTTTAAAATATTTTTTATTTTATTTTTACATTTTTATTATTTAATTAATTATTGGTTAGCTTTATTTTGATTTGTTTTTATTTTTAAATTATGTATAGCTCACAAAACCCAGTTTAGACTAACCAGCATTAAATTACAGCACTAACTGTAATGTAAATATTGATGTATAAGTCTGCATGAAACCACGTTCATAGCATATTTAACTTCTGTAAAGTGAGATCTCCTAAATCAAACAAGATGATCAGGCATAAATGCTGTCAGGCTCCATTCCTTTTGAAGATTTTCTCTGTATCTGTTCATGAGTTACATCCCTGTTTCTCTGCGGTTCTTCAGATGTGATGTTCTCTGCATGGCGTTACTCTGTGTGAGAGAGTGTGCGTGAGAGAAGTGTGCGTGAGAGAAGTGTGCGTGAGAGAAGTGTGCGTGAGAGAAGTGTGCGCGAGAGAACTGTGCGCGCGAGAGAAGTGTGCGCGCGAGAGAGCGTGCGCGTGAGAGAGCGTGCGCGTGAGAGAGAGCGTGCGCGAGAGAGAGCGTGCGCGTGAGAGAGAAGTGTGCGCGCGAGAGAAGTGTGCGCGTGAGAGAGCGTGCGCGTGAGAGAGAGCGTGCGCGTGACGCTCTAGAGAGCGTGCGCGTGAGAGAGAGCGTGCGCGAGAGAGAGCGTGCGCGTGAGAGAGAAGTGTGCGCGCGAGAGAAGTGTGCGCGTGAGAGAGGGTGCGCGTGAGAGAGAGCGTGCGCGTGAGAGAGCGTGCGCGTGAGAGAGAGCGTGCGCGTGAGAGAGAGCGTGCGCGAGAGAGAGCGTGCGCGTGAGAGAGAAGTGTGCGCGCGAGAGAAGTGTGCGCGTGAGAGAGCGTGCGCGTGAGAGAGCGTGCGCGTGAGAGAGAGCGTGCGCGTGAGAGAGAGCGTGCGCGAGAGAGAGCGTGCGTGAGAGAGCGTGCGCGTGAGAGAGCGCGTGCGAGAGAGAGCGTGCGCACGCGCGTGTGTGTGAGAGCGTGCGCGCGTGCGAGAGTGAGAGTGCGCGTGCGAGAGTGCGTGCGAGAGTTGTGTGTGTTGTGTGTGTGTGTGTGTGTGTGTGTGTGATTTCACTGGTTTTGCTCTGCAGCTGCCTGTGATTTTGGTGCTGATTGTACATCTGTGTGTGTTTGACGCAGACTGAGCTGGAGCTGCAGCAGATGAAGGAGAGACGAGACGAGACCGAGAGACGGAGAGATGAACACCTGCTTCCCAGCATGCAAAGCTGCAGCACACAGACAGAGCAGGTAGTGTAAACAGTACAGTTTCACTCCTCCCTTCATTTAAAAAGAGCTTTCAAAAGGTTTCAGTCGCTCGAGATCTGTTGTTCAAAAATAATAATAAATGATTATATAAATATTAATAAATAAATATATACGTTAATAAATATACAAACATGAATAAATATCTAAATATGGAGCACTTCCTCCTCTGTGCCACAAGGTGGCGCTCTGATCTCAGGTGTGTTTGTTGCTATGGCAGCGCACTAGAAGCTGTTCTGGTGTTGTGCTGAATTTGACTGTTCAAGAGCCGCTCAGTTTGACAAACACGGCAGACTGTGATGAAATGATGGGCTTCTTGTCTGCCGTTTCTTTTCTGCCTGTTCATAAACTCCAGACGAGAGAGGAAGAGGAGGAGGAGGAGGGCAGAGGTCAGGGAAGAGCCGTGACATCGGACCCAGAGCTCTCGTCTGATGTCGTCACCACAGAGAGGTGAGCGGCAATTACAGCTCATTAATAATTCCTGATTTCATTGGGCTCAAACAAAAGTTCTGTATAGTCATTAGAACTCATAGATAGACGGACGGACAGATAGACGGACGGACAGATAGACAGACGGACAGATAGACAGACAGACGGATAGATAGACAGACGGATAGATAGACAGACAGATAGACAGATAGATAGATAGATAGGATAGATAGATAGACAGACGGATAGACAGACAGACAGACGGATAGACGGATAGATAGACAGATAGATAGATAGATAGATAGACAGACAGACAGACAGAGAGACGGATAGACAGACAGACAGACGGATAGACAGACAGACAGACAGACAGACAGACAGAGAGATGGATAGACAGACAGACAGACGGATAGACAGACAGACGGATAGACAGACAGACGGATAGACAGACAGACGGATAGACAGACAGACGGATAGACAGACAGACGGATAGACAGACAGACGGATAGACAGACAGACGGATAGACAGACAGACGGATAGACAGACAGACGGATAGACAGACAGACGGATAGACAGACAGACGGATAGACAGACAGACGGATAGACAGACAGACAGACGGATAGACAGACAGACAGACGGATAGATAGACGGATAGATAGATAGATAGACAGACAGACAGACAGACGGATAGACAGACGGATAGATAGACAGACGGACGGTTAGATAGATAGATAGGATAGATAGATAGATCGATAGACAGATAGACGGACAGACAGACAGACAGATAGATAGATAGATAGATAGATAGATAGATAGACAGACAGACGGATAGATAGATAGATAGATAGATAGGATAGATAGATAGATAGACAGACGGACGGATAGACAGATAGATAGATAGGATAGATAGTTAGATAGACAGACAGACAGACAGACAGACAGACGGATAGACAGATAGACGGATAGATAGATAGATAGACAGACAGACGGATAGACAGACAAACAGACAGACAGACAGATAGATAGATAGATAGACAGACGGATAGATAGATTAGATAGATAGATAGACAGACAGACGGATAAACAGATAGATAGATAGGATAGATAGATAGACAGACAGACAG